CAAATTAAAACTCACTGGAACTTGTCTTCTCTAAGACTCTGTGATGTTCCACAAATTCTCATCTTGAAAATAAGACTCTGTAACTCTGTGATGTACAAATAAAACATAATTAAAGATCTAGTCGGTCTGTAGTTATCTCCGTTTGTCTGAGTGACGCCGGAGATCACAGAGTTATGGATTTTTGGTGTAAATTATAGAAAGTTCTTTAGAGAAAAGCTCCCGTTTCAGTTTCAGAGTGAAAACATTTAAAGTTGCACCGACACATCCGTCCTTTGGAGAAACTGAACCTTAAATTCTCTGGTAGTGGTTTTATTTGAAGGCTCCACTCCCCTCTGTCAGACTGAAGTGTCCGCAGCCGGAGCAGCAGTGGCAGAGTGGTTAACAGTGGTCAGGCCTGAGGCAGATCTGCTAAATCCACTTAATGTGCACTTTACTGAAGGCTCAGAGAAAACAGTGTGGGAGGGTCCGCAGTCTGCCCCTCTCTTCTCTACGGTTTCACTGACGACCGGAGACAGCAGCACAGGGACACGGGAGAGCGCACGTCTGAAGTGCATTATATCACAATTTCAAATAATATTTAAATTTATTATTTAATATTTAATCATGTATAATATTAAAGGAAAGAACACAACACATAATGTTGATGATGAAAGGTCTTGGGTTCATTCCCACTGACCTCAGACCATGAATCCTCACTTTGCTCCAAGACAAAGACCATCTTCTTATAATCCCAGTCTTCAGGAGACGGTGAAGGCCACAGGGGGCGCTGCCGCGTAGATTAAATACTGAGCAATTCTTCTTGTTCTATGTGTGGACTCATGATCCCTGAGTCTCTGATGGAGCTGCTCCACTGCTCCTTCACAATCCCAGATTCAACCATTTGTCAAAGGTTCCGTTCCAAACCTCTGGATACGACATAACCGAGAAGGTTGAGGAGTGTGACCCCATGATGATTGGAACACACGCTCGGGTCGCTTCCCAGAGACAGAACCTGCCACAGTCTGAACCTGCCACAGTCTGAACCTGCCACAGTCTGAACCTGCCACAGTCAGAACCTGCCACAGTCAGAACCTGCCACAGTCTGAGCCTGCCACAGTCTGAACCTGCCACAGTCTGAACCTGCCACAGTCAGAACCTGCCACAGTCTGAACCTGCCACAGTCAGAACCTGCCACAGTCAGAACCTGCCACAGTCAGAACCTGCCACAGTCTGAACCTGCCACAGTCTGAACCTGCCACAGTCTGAGCCTGCCACAGTCAGAACCTGCCACAGTCTGAACCTGCCACAGTCTGAACCTGCCACAGTCTGAACCTGCCACAGTCAGAACCTGCCACAGTCTGAGCCTGCCACAGTCTGAACCTGCCACAGTCAGAACCTGCCACAGTCAGAACCTGCCACAGTCTGAACCTGCCACAGTCTGAACCTGCCACAGTCAGAACCTGCCACAGTCAGAACCTGCCACAGTCTGAGCCTGCCACAGTCTGAACCTGCCACAGTCTGAGCCTGCCACAGTCTCAGCCTGCCACAGTCAGAACCTGCCACAGTCTGAGCCTGCCACAGTCTGAACCTGCCACAGTCTGGCCTGCCAAAGTCTGAACCTGCCACAGTCAGAACCTGCCACAGTCTGAGCCTGCCACAGTCTGAACCTGCCACAGTCTGGCCTGCCAAAGTCTGAACCTGCCACAGTCAGAACCTGCCACAGTCTGAACCTGCCACAGTCTGTATCTGATCAGGATGTTGCAGAGATGTGTCGACACAGTCCCACAACATTCAGAGACTTCAGATCATCAGGAAAGATCCTCATCCAGAGGCCGCCAGCCTCAGAGACATCAGCGAGATGGAAGTGTCCGTCCCAAAACCCTCTGTCTCTACATTAATGACTTGAAAAGGTGCGCAGAGAAACAGCAGCAGCTTTCTTCACTCACTGATGTTGTGTCGAACTGTTCCCTCCTCACGAGACACTCACAGTTGGCTAGAATCTTGTTGAGGTTAAAACTGAAGAGTAGAAAACACAGAGTTCTACATCCTGAGCATCCAAGCCAAACGCCTTCTTTGATTCTGCACTAAACTTACTCCGCTGTGATTCAGTAAATAATCCCGTTCATATGTTGTTGTGTCCGACTGATCTCTGACCTGGACGTGCTGTTAGAGAATAGATCCACAACAGAAGAGGCAGTAACCCCCAGAGGTTCATGACCCTCAGACTGAGACGACTTGAAACAGGCTCAGAGGCTTCTGTCGTCGGTGAAGCAGAACATTTAAACACGAAGATCGATTGTTTTGTTTCCTGTTTAGATCCGCTGAAGCAGTTCGAGTTCATTGAGGTGAAAGTGACCTTTATTAATGCTGTGAAATTGCTCAAAAGCCAAAACTGACCTTTCGTCCAGACCATGTTTCCCAATCGAGTGCTAATTTATTCGGGAAGAGCATCCGACATTTGAACTGATCGGTCTCTTTCGTCTTCGTGACTCGCAGCCGGAGCCCGTCTCTTCGGTCTCTAATGACGCCGATAGGTCTGGATCGACTCACTTTAGTTTCAGTGCATGAAGCGTCCATAAGCCAGAGGACCGCTGACTTATCGATAGGCGGCTGGACGCCTGGTATCCACTTAACCCCGAGACCGTGGCGGGCCGCGATGGTTAAACGGTCGTCTGTAGAATGACTGCAGGTGGCTCGGTGGGATTAATCAAGCCTAACGACACATCTGTAGGGGCGCGTACGTAAGGGGGGGGTAGGCTGCATCAATCACGGCCTGGGCACCTCTCCGGCCCGTCCCGCTCCCCCTCTGCCTCTCTCAGCGTTATCGACCCGTGCTTTGGGGCCGGGGTAATTAAAAGACATTGATCTGCCTCCGCCGCAAGATGTTGGGATGCCATCAGACTACACGGCGCGCAGGGAAAAATCCGCTTTGTGTGGATCATAACACGGTTTTATATGTTTAAGAGCCACGCCAGGGGAGGCACACACCAGGTCGCAGTGCAAATAATGTCTGTCATAAAAAGGGAACGTTGCATGCCAGGCCAGTGGGGGGCGCTAGCTCTGGGTTCATAAACCAGACAAGGATGGACTAGATCAGTGTTTTTCAACCAGTGGGCCGGGGAACAATAGTGGGCTTTGAGATGTTATTGCCTTGGGAAATGATCCAATATCACCCATTTGGGCAAAACATTTTGAAAATAGAAAGAATTAGAAATGTATTTTTGCACTTCTGATTTTCCTTAAAATGATCCTTGATGATAATGACTTTGTTTTGTTTTTAAAGGCTGCAGAGTAACATCCGTTTGAGCTGGTGGTGCTTCATGAGACAGTTTTAAATGAAAAAGGTTAATTCAAAGGATTACACCATAGAATAATTATAGATTATGTTGCGTACTTACTAGTGCCCGCCCACTTCCTGGTTCAAAGAATAAAAATACATGTCTTTTAGTCCATAAGGATTCCCCTCACTAAATAATTATAATTTAAAAAATACATTGGATTCCCCTAAGCTTGTTTTTTAAGTTCAAAGATCGTTCCCTTCTGATCTTGACATTTTGATATTAAATGGGAAATATTACTTGTTCACTGTGTTACTTTTTGTTGAGTTTGGATCAATACATTCTGAGCTGGTCAAGGATGTCCATCTCCAGTCATTAAATACAAACATAAACAAATACAAAAGCTGATGTGTTATGTGACTTTTAAATGTGTTTTGAGGATTAGGTCTGGTCTGGTCTGGTCTGGTCTGGTCTTACCGTACCATCAGACTCATTTCATTTACGGATGGCTAAGGTTAGACCAGGTCAGATCTGAGGTTCTCAAAACATCCATGAATCCACTGCCGAAATGTTCTGAATGCACAAAGACAGATACAGCGTCGACTTCAATGTTTCTGCAAAGACCTAAGTGTTTTTATCAATACGTGATTTTAAAAGTGAAGTAATGACAGATTCCACGTTCGTACGAATCCTCCAGTCCCATTCGTATCCACTTCTTCTGTCTTTTGGAACTGCTCGTATGTTTACCACACTGCAAAAAGCCATGAAAAATAAGTCCAATTTGCTAAACTTTGCCAAACCTTGTCTTATTTTGAGCACATTCTGACTGAGCCTAAAGAGAAGGTTTGTCAATGGGACCAAACAAAATGATAAGAATAAACAGTTTTGTCCCAAACTTGTTTTCACGCAGTCACAATGTTCTCAGATTAAGACAAAAAACACTTGATTCAAGCAGTTATTGCCTCATATTTTAGTTGTTTAGTTGTTTCTGACCTTCAGGCAAGAAGCAAGTTCACGATCCTGTGGGTGTGACATCACTCGCGGGTATTGGAACTTCAGAAAGCATTAAAAGAGCCTAAATTCAATTATTCCCCCCACATTACATTAGTGAAGATGATTTACTGGTCGCAATAAGTAATTACATTTTTTGAAGAGTTTTTTTCTTTCCATTTTTTTCTCGACTGCTGCTGCTTCTGCTCATCACGTTTATACAGAGACTTTATATTTCCCATCTGCAGCCCTCAGCTCCAGCCGCGGTCAGTAATAGGCCGTATAATCACACAAAATAAACCGTGGCGTGGGCTTTTCTCCGCTTCATTGGTATTCTGCTCGGCCGGACCACTTCTCTAAAGCTTTCATATCACCAAGTCAACTTCTGACAGCTACAGAACATCACGGAAAGGTTCTTTTTGGTCTATTCTCTTAATAAACCAAATTGGGGGAAGCAAAAAAACAACAAAAACTGATTGATTCTCCGTGCCCAAAAGCCCCATCTTCCCCCCTTTGCTCTCTTCTTTTATTCCGTCCGAGTGAACACCGTAAATCTAAGTGCCGCCAGATTGCCAACCCTGCACATTTCTCGACCTCGCGGAAAGAAGCAGCCCATCAAATCGCCGGGGCCTTGCCGTGGACTCACAATAAATACAGCCGTGACACCTCCCAGGACCAGCTCCGGACCGCTCTCAGGAAGGACCCAAACGCCCGCAATCTCGCTGGAAAACTGTTGATGGACGAGATGTGTTCCTAATTTTTGTTTATTCCGGTCGTGGCTCTTTGCGTGCCGTGATTCAGTGCCCTGGCCTCTGATTGCGGTCTGGATCTGGCGCCCCATCGCTCCAGTCTCTGTCCCTCATAAATCGGATGAATTACTCGGGACGGGCCCACCATCCCCCCCCCCATTAACCCTCCCCCCTCTTTCTCCTTTTCTCTATCCTCTTTGCTCCTGGACGAGTGATCAATTAGGGCCCTGTCCAGAGCGTGGGGGACGTCAGCAGTTTGAGACTCCCCCATCCTCCTCAAGCCTCTGACTGTCATCGTTCTTATTCTGTTCAGGCAGGTTTCAGGACGACTAAGACTGAACACAAAAACACAACAGGAGTCTGAAAAACAAGATGGTTATGACTGGATGGTTAAAATTAGGGTGTATTACGGAGAAACTAAAATTCAAATACATTTTAAAAGAACAGGAAGTAGTTTTTGCTCTTTCTGGTGTAAAAGGTTAGGTTTATATGAGAATCAAAACAGCTGGATTTCACCAAAGAACTGGCAACCCATGTGAGAAGCTCATTCTGCTCTCCGGTTTTCACAGCAGTAATGAGAAATGGTAATTTGAACAGTGCAATCACATGTTTTATGATCAAAATGAAGTATAAATCAGCATTAACATTTTGACTAGAATTCTGATTAAGATTTCTACAACCCAAAGATTAAAGATGGCTGTGAAATCTGAAACCTAAATATTAAGGACTTTTTCTATAATGTCTATTTAAACGTATTTGGGATAAAAATGTTCACACGATTGAAGTATCATTCAATAAAAACACAAATAGTATCGATAATATTGACCACATTAAAACTCAGAAACAAAGAATATGTGGGAAACAAATCTGTGAGAACTCTGACGTGTGATAAATAACACATTAGCATTGTTTGTGTTGAGACATCACAGGCCACGACGGGGTCAAAGGTTGTGTCAAACCGGTCCTCAAAGTGCCGGTGTGGCTGCAGGTTTTCATTCCAACCCAGAAAGAGCGCAGCAGACTCCGCCCCTTTTCTTAACCTGCAGCCGCACCTGCCCTTTTCCGGAAGCTTTTGGACCTGAGCGTACGTCATCATCAGAAAGTTGTGCGTGAGGCCTGACTTCAAACTATCACGCACTAGCATTAGCTTTCATAAAAACCTGGAGCGTGTGCTGACATGCTATCATCTGACTCCTTGTCGGTAGGGGTGTACCCGGAAACAGAATTATCCATTGAATTTGAATGATGTCCTTTTTCCTCTTGAAAACGTCTTTACAGGATGGGCCAAAAGTGGCTCTTGGTCCAACGCTATGTTCCAGATGCTGTTGATGGGAGTATTTTGTTTGGACCAGTCTAGTTTAACCGCTGTGGACTTTTAAATGGACTCTTTAATTTTCCTGAGGGAGGGGCTACCCGCGGCCATTTTGAATCTGCCCATGTCTGTGGCACATACATTTCAACAGGAAATAGGCCTCACTACGACTCTTAATATTTACAGTCGATGGGTCGGGTCTTTTACCGCTTTGTAATATACATTTATAACCTGGACCTTCCCATAATTCCTTTCTTCTCTAAATTCTGCAGAATGTGTCAAAGTGAATGACCGGTATAAAACACTAAAGGAGATTATTATGAAAACCTGGCTGAGTTTTGTCTCTGTTCTTTAGATTCTCTTTCTTTTATCCTCTCTAATGATCCATATTTGCTTAATTACACGACATTAGTCCCTGAATGAAAACCCCAGCAGCACAAGGCCATCAACTCTGTGACCAAACGCATCCAGACAAAAGTGTTATGTGGAGTAAAAATGGTTTGAATCAGAAAAACACAGGGCTCGGATCAAAGCTGGTACAAAAAGAATATATATTTTATTGTTTTATGCTGAGAAATGCTCTGTACACATTTGACAGGTCTGTTCTGTGCTAAAGGGAAAAGGTTCGGATCCCAGCTTTTTCCAACACGACTTTTTGGAGACGAATGAAACACGGATCGTAGCACAGCGTACGGCACTGGCCTTCTCTGATTGTCTACAAGAGAAACATTAAAACAGGCCAGCTCAAACACAGAATATCCAACATAAACAAGAACTCCACACTGAAATGTTTGTACATCCCCAAAATGAAAATACCAAAGTGCTTTTCTTTCATAATCGTCATCTCTGCTTCAAAATCTAACGTAACAAAGACACAGGGTAGAGAACCTTCACAGAGCTGGACCAGTACAAACCAGAAGCTATTTATTTAATCAAAATATGACGTTAATATTGATCACAGTGACTTTACGTTGGCTCGAGACATCAGCAGCAATCAGCCACATCATTATGACCACAGACCGCGGTTACAGAGAGCCAGAACTCAGTGGCAAGGAAACATTACTCTCAAGTACTGTGTTTCTTCCGGGATTCCTTTGAAAAAAGAGGTTCTCAATCTCAATGGGACTTTCCTGGTTAATCAAAGTGATAGTCTGGAACTCTAAATGAATTACAAATGATAAAAATTGTATTAAATTGACCTCCTTGTCATGAAAATGTGAACAGATAATTCTGAAAACCTGCATGTTTATTAATAATGTTTATGTGTAATGTGTTCTCTGACGATGGGGCGACAGTAGCTCAGTTGGTAGAGCATTGGCCTTAAGGCCAGAAGGTCGTGGGTTCAATTCCCACCTCTACACCTTCTCCACCGACTCCCACTGATGACTGCTGTCGTTGTGTCCTTGGGCAAGACACTTAACCCCACTTTGCCCAAAGCCCCCACTGAAAGATCAAGGCTATGCTCACAGTCAGAGAGCAGCCGTCCTCCTGTGGACTCACCACCTGCAGAGGGTCAGTGAGGGGCTGGTGCTATGAGACTTGGGTGGCATCTCTGACTGTCACCCCCCTGACCCAGAAATGGATTAAAGGGTAGAAAATGGATGGATGGATGGATGGTGTTCTCTGATTAAAATTTCAAAGTGTTACGGAAACGTAGGCGTAGACCAATCAGAAAGGAAGGGGGAGAAGCTTGCGTTGGGTTTTTTTCAAATCAACCTCGCTCTCTTTATTCTGACAAACTCCAGACAATCACTGGAGACGAGGTTAAATAAATAAGAAAAGATAAAAGTATGGAATAATAACAATAGTGCAGCAAAACCAATTGTTTAATGTTCAGGAAAATGACAATGCTCTTTTTGCTCGGTCTGTCTCCATATTTACTTTTAAATATGACTCATTTGGACTTATCATTCAAAAAAGGCAACTTAAATTGTACATTGTTAAAATATTCTAACCATTATATATACTAAGTATTTTCAACAAATTTAAGATTGGCAAAAGTACGACCAGTAAGACCAATGATAAGGGGCCTCAGGAATTTGAATTAATTTCGACCAATCGGAAAGCGGCAGGGGTGAACATGGGCGGGGCTAATCAGTGCTGGTCTCACTCTCTTTCCAGTTTGCAAAGAAACTGATATTGATAAAAACTGATGATTAAACTATATATTTTGTGCCTCAATATTTATCATCAGTAGAGTTTCTTCTCAAAAATGTCAAAATTTAATCGTTTTAGTTGTAGAAATTGCAACAAGACTAAATCGCACTTGATGTTTAATTAAACTGAACTTTTGTTAAAACATGAATTACATTATTTTTCAGTTTTGTGGCATTTATCAATTTCATCGCAATCATTTCTGAGTCAAAACATTGTCTTCAAAATGACTTTCTTACTTGGTCGAATGTTAAGGATTTGGACAAAATGAACCAAACTTCTCAGTCCACGATATTTGCACTTTCAACGCATCAGACTCTGGACACTTTTGGGCTCAGAGTAAACTGGTCTCTCTGCTGCTTCTCTGCTGCATCTCTGCTGCTTCCCTGCTGCTTCTCTGCTGCTTCCCTGCTGCTTCCCTGCTGCTTCCCTGCTGCTTCTCTGCTGCTTCCCTGCTGCTTCCCTGCTGCTTCTCTGCTGCTTCTCTGCTGCTTCCCTGCTGCTTCTCTGCTGCTTCTCTGCTGCTTCCCTGCTGCTTCTCTGCTGCTTCTCTGCTGCTTCTCTGCTGCTTCCCTGCTGCTTCTCTGCTGCTTCTCTGCTGCTTCCCTGCTGCTTCCCTGCTGCTTCTCTGCTGCTTCTCTGCTGCTTCCCTGCTGCTTCCCTGCTGCTTCCCTGCTGCTTCTCTGCTGCTTCTCTGCTGCTTCCCTGCTGCTTCTCTGCTGCTTCTCTGCTGCTTCCCTGCTGCTTCCCTGCTGCTTCCCTGCTGCTTCTCTGCTGCTTCTCTGCTGCTTCTCTGCTGCTTCCCTGCTGCTTCTCTGCTGCTTCTCTGCTGCTTCTCTGCTGCTTCTCTGCTGCTTCCCTGCTGCTTCCCTGCTGCTTCCCTGCTGCTTCCCTGCTGCTTCTCTGCTGCTTCTCTGCTGCTTCTCTGCTGCTTCCCTGCTGCTTCCCTGCTGCTTCTCTGCTGCTTCTCTGCTGCTTCCCTGCTGCTTCCCTGCTGCTTCCCTGCTGCTTCTCTGCTGCTTCCCTGCTGCTTCTCTGCTGCTTCCCTGCTGCTTCTCTGCTGCTTCTCTGCTGCTTCCCTGCTGCTTCCCTGCTGCTTCTCTGCTGCTTCTCTGCTGCTTCCCTGCTGCTTCCCTGCTGCTTCCCTGCTGCTTCTCTGCTGCTTCCCTGCTGCTTCCCTGCTGCTTCTCTGCTGCTTCTCTGCTGCTTCCCTGCTGCTTCCCTGCTGCTTCTCTGCTGCTTCTCTGCTGCTTCTCTGCTGCTTCTCTGCTGCTTCTCTGCTGCTTCTCTGCTGCTTCCTGCTGCTTCCTGCTGCTTCCTGCTGCTTCCCTGCTGCTTCCCTGCTGCTTCTCTGCTGCTTCCTGCTGCTTCTCTGCTGCTTCTCTGCTGCTTCTCTGCTGCTTCTCTGCTGCTTCTCTGCTGCTTCTCTGCTGCTTCTCTGCTGCTTCGCTGCTTCTCTGCTGCTTCTCTGCTGCTTCCCTGCTGCTTCTCTGCTGCTTCTCTGCTGCTTCCCTGCTGCTTCTGTGCACAATTACTACAAGAAGAGACCAGAGTGGTTCGTATTGATTTTTTGTCTTGAAAACAGACCTTTTAGATACATATACACTGCCTATTTATACTTTTTAAACACCTCATCAGCCCGAGACTCTACTTTCACTACTGAAACTCACTTTATCTTTATAGAAGTTTATAATGTGGCACGTGGGAAAAGTGTCTTGCCTCAGGACACAGCAACAGTTTGGAATTTTACAGCCGTAGCCAGAGGTCTCCCATCACTTCCTATGGACCTACTGCACTGTACTGTACGCTGCAACACTGAAAATGAAACCACTTAATCCTCAGTTTCTCTACATTATGACGACTGTATTGAATGACAGTCTGACTTTTAGGGCGATTTAAAGCATGTGTCAAAGGTAAAGGACTATTTTAATAATATTGTAATTATATATTCTACAGCCTCAGCTTCTGTTCTGTGGGGAATACATGAGTAAGGATCGTTGCTTCTTTTGCTTTTTGGGAGTTCTGTTTGTCCGAGCTCTGACAGAGTCTGGGGTCCTGGTGTAATCCTAAAGTGTGACAAAGTGAATAATTATCATGGCCAACAGCGGGGCCATCTCTTCTTAAGCATCCTTGAGTGCAGTGAAGCCCCTCCCCCAGAGCGACGCAGCTTCAGGCTGAGTTCACCGAAACATGAGTCTCAAAACAAGCTGGGGGTGTACCCGGAAACAGAATTACCCAATGCTTTTGTATGCCTCTGCTCAGGCCCTCAGCTTCTGTCAAAGTTTGCGCAGGGGAAACTATAGTAAATTTAAAACCAATCATAATATATCCTGTTGTTATGTAGATTGACAAGTGTGTAATTTGTCCCCTAAAGACGCAGCTGCACTAACCATAGATTTCCTTTACTCTCATTATCATTTGACTGCTTTAACTGGAGAATATTAACCATTAGTTGAGTGTGATGTCGCCAAAGTGAGTCTGGCAGTGACCTACATTCACAAACCAAACCATTTCTCACCAGACGCTCAATATTTTGTCCTCCTTGTGACAGCGTTTGTTATTCCCGACACGTTATTCCGCGGCAATAGACGCTTTATCTTACTCATAATCTCCGGTTGAATATTACCGTTTAACCTCAAAGCTTTTAAGTCGTCATTTTATCATCTCCGACCGCATTACTGTCTGGTCGCTCTTTGGACGAATCAGAAATTATTCATGAAGCCGCGGAGACCTGAAGGGAACGCACATAAATCTAATGTAAGATTCACAGGCTGTTTAAATCTGAGGCGTTTGAAGCCACAAAGATTCATTTAAACCGATTCAATTAGAAATGTGGGAGGTAATATGGTGTGTTGCTAAAGTATCGTGATTCATTTATGATGTTCGGAACCAAATAACACCCATAATGCAATATAAGAAGAATGATCATTGTTTTTCTAAAGTAAAATATCATCCCATCCTTAGAAAGACGGCGTTAATGTACGTTAATGTAGTGGGATTGGGTATTCTCCCTGATCTGATGTCCATGTCACGCCTCCATGAGGGGCTGGCTCGCTCCTGGCTGACCCCCCTCGACTACTCCAGAGCTGGGATGGACTAGCCTGGTCTTACCACACCACTGTACTCATTTCATTTCATACTAAGGTCTGGATTGTCTCCATTGACTCCGTTAACAGGTGGGAGGGGCTAACTCCTTTTGCAGATTGAAACCATTGGATCTGAGTTTACTGTGACGTACGTAATGAGCCCGAGTGAGTGAGGCATTTAGCATTTAGCCTAGCTTTAGCTTTTAGCCTAGCGTAAGCCATCTCTTTTGCCGCTAACAGAGCCCGTGGGGAGTAGAGCCACAACATCTTTGCTTCAATGACATTTACTAAACATTCCTCTTGCTCCGGCTTCAGTTTCTTGATATTTGGATCGAACCAGAACAGATTATCGCATTCTCCGACAAACTACAACCAGCAAATTCAGCACAAACTCTTGACGTCACTCGACTTGGTCAGGACTGGAGCTGGAGGATTTTACCTACAGTCCATGTTTTTGTCGGTGGGGGAACCGGAGCGCCCAGAGGAAACCCACCCAGATCAAAGCCATGATGGACTACTTTAAGAACCGGTATCTTTCAAACTATACGACACTTTGGAACTGGACTGAACAATAAATTAACTTTCCAAATAAGTTTAGGAACTCCAGCACATTCATGGGGACATCCTGGCATTAGCTTTGACGATCAAGCTTCACATTTCAGTAAACAAAACATAATAAAATATGTGAGAATGTTGAGTATTTCTTCCATCACTGACACAGAAGACATGTAGTATTTATCGACCAATCAGTGGCTGTAGTTCTGACAGGTGCCGACCCTTGCTCCTCAAAGTGCTGTGTTGTCCCAGAATAATCTGTGGCTTTTGATGTGGCTTGATTGCTTCAGATTTGAAACGATAAATTAAGACCTTGTTCCAGACTAAAAAACGAAGGGATTAGTTATTTTTAAAAAGCTCATTAAGAGTCAGCGATAACCCCATTTCTCTCAATTTACCGGATATTAGCAGGAAGTGAGTGAATAATACATGAGGTTTTTGCTGCTTGATGCTAGTCTCCGCCGCGGCCGTACACAGCTCAGAAAATGACGAGATAACTGTATTTTCTAACATCCCGAAGATCCATGTCTGAGATCTGTCGGTTTATGTTTTCAGTCAACCACGACTGAACCAGACGACGCTTGTACACATCTCGGAAATAAGTTTTTAACAAGAAATTAAGATTTACTGCAGATTCTCAATTCTAGTTTTTGCGCCGTCTGTACTATGAGCATCCACAGGTTCTCTAAAACATGTTTGCTTCAGCGATCTCACCAAAAGCGTTGGAAATAATCTTATTCCACGTTTTCTACGGTGTTGCTTATTAAGTATAACGGAGCTGTATTCCTCATGAAGTGCTTGACATTCAAAGTCTTGTCTCTATATCTATTCTCTTTTTCAACGTCCTTGTAAACGCCTCACTTCGCCTTTGCTTCGAATGTTTTTTTTCCACTTGTGGGAGTCAGGGACAGGCCTGCGTTGGCTACAATATAAAACACACATTTCTGCTTTCTTCTCCATCTGCTGCTGTCTGTCCTGTCTCTGCTCTATCCCACTCAATCCATTCTTCAGAAGCCTTATTATCTGAGGTTACTGGACTGTTTTTTTTACCCCTGGTCCTTTTCGAGCTGGCTAATCTTCACTCTAATCATTGGGGGGATGGAAGTCTTTGAAATACCGACACAATTCATTTCACCTCCGTCCGATAAAGCACCCTGGTCAACCTCATCTTGTTTTTTGCGTCACTACCGGCTCGTGCTCTCATCAGTTTTCTTCTAATATTTCAAATACAAAACATGATGTATTGCAAAGAAAACCATTTATAATTTGCTTCCCCCGCCTCGCCGCGATCACCGATAAAAAACAGCCAGCGTTCCAAGAGGAAATTGTATTATTCCCTTGGATCAGAGCCCACATTGTTCGCCATCTTGTTTTCATTTTCTTTCCCGCTCAGACAAAATCCTTGGAAATAGCCTCCACAAAGTTCGGCGCGGACATGAGGATCGAAATGGTGCAAATAATGTTGAAGACACTGAACGCCACCAGACACAGGCGGTCGATGACGGCGCCCGCGAACTTCCACTGGTCCGCCATGCTTTCCGTTTCGTCCTGCTCGCGAAACCTGTCCGCCATGTAGCGCACCTCCTCCAGAATGGCCTGGAGCTGCGGGTCTCCGATGACAGACGTGGAGCAGCCTCCGAGGCCGCCGTGTCCTCCGCCGAAACCCCCGCCACTGGACACCGTACTGGGGCATCCCGTGTCCAAATTGGGCGTGGGAGGGGGAGGCGAACTGCAGAACTGTGAGGGTAAATGCGGGGGTGGGCTGCCTGCCACTCTGGGAGGTCCCAAAGCAAGATTCCTATGCACTGCTTCGGACAGCAGCCCCGGCTCGTCCAAGCTTTGAAATCCCATGTAGAGCAGGTTTCCATTGTTGTTGGCGCTGCTCTGAGAGTGCAAGTGGGGGTGTCCCGTGTGCAGAGAGCCCAGGTTCTGCGGGTGGAGGGGGTGTAGCGTGGGGTCCGGAGGGTTGGGAATGCTGCCGCTTTGGGAGCCGGAGGAGCAGCGGCGGAGGTGCGGGGCGCAGGGGGGACGCTCGGGATCGTCGCTCTCTCCCGGGCGTTTCATCCGCAAGAACCAGGCGACCCACTGCAGCAGCACCAGCCGGACCTGAGCAGAGAAGGGGAGAGACTTGGTGAATAGTGAAGAGGTGTTTGGTTCAATCTCCCACCCCCACGAGATTTACTCCAACTGCTCCCACTCAAGTCTGCTATTGTTGTGTCTTTGGGCAAGGCATTTAAGCTCACGTTGCCTGAAGCCCCAGCTGAAAGGACAAGTCTGTGTCACCGCTGACGGAGGATCAGAGGGGTGCTATAAACTTTGGGTGCAGCTCTGATTGTACCCCCCCCCCCAGATCCCCCAGACCCAGAAAATGGACAAATAAAGGGGTAGAAAATGAATGAATTAATGAATGTTTGGTTTGGTTTGACTTAAAATCTTAGTATTTCATCCAGGGCAGAGTTTTATCACTAATTTTCACATGCCTGTAATGTTGGCATGTCACATCCTTACATCAGCTTTTTCCAACAGAAGAGTGAAAAAGACTCAAAAACCCAAAGTGTCAAATAGTGACTCACAGGGGTCTTTCTTACAAGTCTGCAAAAGATGAGCAGAAGTCAACATGTTGAGGTTTGATTTGTTCACAGTATTTTACTTTTACACGACTCTTTCTTTTGGGACAAACACAAAGTCAGCTTCCCCAGAGAAAATATATCATGAAATTAAATTAAATAAAACATTTGAAAATATTTATCTAATCAACATCTAACAATCTTATCTGATGAAAATTGGTAAAGTTTGAGCCTTTGAGCCTGAAGGTTGTGGGTTCAAGACCTTCTCCACCGACTCCTGCTGTGTCCTTGGGCAAGACACTTAACCCCACTTTGCTCTGACCCAGAAATGATTTAAGGGGAAGAAAATGGAAGGATGGTGAAAATCAGATCTCGTCCTGTCATCATCTCTCCATCTCACCCTCATAAATCAAAATGATCTTTTAGTCTTTTAGTGATATTTTCCACAAGTTGGTGCTTCTTTTAAGACCAGATTGTTTTGTTTTTTGTACCTGACAAGTTGAAATTCAGCCTGACGAGATTTTGACAGTTTTCCTGGTCTTGCGGTCAATGAACATATGAGTAGCAATAACATGTTTAACGTTCAGAAACTATTCATTTAGGATAAATCATAAACTGGGAAGAATTAAAATAGCTTGAAAGAAACATGGACAAAAACGAGAAGAGGCCGCGATGCTTTTTATGTTGAGGAAATGCAGGGATTAAAACACGCACCACAAATGTAAAGTATTTATGCAAAAGGAGAGATAGGAAAATGCTTGAACCCACATAATCCTGTTTAATCTTTTGAAATTCTCGATGTTTCGTTCAACAATGTGCATGTAAATAATAATTACAACATGTGCAGCAGGTCCATCCTCTGCCAGTTATCACCGAGAAAATATTGTATGCATTCCCAATGTATTTATTCATATTTTTCACAAATATCTCCGGTATTTGGATGTGCATAATCAGACACACCCGGGCACTATTGGGGCTTTCTAAATTGGGATGCAACACAGGTGCTGAGACAACTTTCTGGCAGTTCTGGGGTAAACAACACACACATATATCTTTACTCTATGAACCGTGAAAACTCCACCGTGAAGTTTGAGAAGCGAGACGAGAGCAGCAGACACGGAAAGTGGACACGGCACTTTGCACACGGGAAATTATCTTAGAGACGGTCCTCTCCTCACGAGGACACGCACAATTACACAAATTATTAAAATGTCTTCTCAAAACCTGTGAGTTCTATTCTGCTGCTTCCCTTTGTCTTGGTCTGGAGCTGTTGATGACTTTTACCTGGTTTTATTTTGATTTTATTTCTGTCTTTTGAGTGGATTGATGGTGGCTCCCATTGTTTTTTCACCTGTGTCTCCTGAGTGTATTTATACCAGTGGGGGCGGGTCCCGGCTCCAAAACGTCCATGAGTATGTGCGCTGACATCTCACTCTTTGCCGGTGGGGGTGTACCCGGAAACAGAATTACCCAATGCATTTGTATGACGTCTAATTTCCTCTTAAAAAGATCTTTACACGATGGTCCAAAAGTGGCTCTTGGTTCCAGATGCTGTCGATGCTGAAGAGAGGATTTTTGTTTGGACCAGTCTAGTTTAGCCGCTGTGGACTTTTGAATGGACTCTTTCAATGAATGGGGCTCGTGCAGCGTTTTATTCACATTTTCCTGTGGGAGGGGCTGCCCACGGACTTTTACATTTCAACAGAGGAAACAGGCCTCACCACGTCCGTTAATATTTACAATCTCTGTTTCATACCTTATGCTTTTCCCACTTGTACTCCGCCCATTGTCTCTACCACGTCTCGTTTTTAAGTCTGGAATTTTGTGTTTTTCTATTTTTCTATTTCTATTCATTTTCATTCTATTCTCAGTCCTGCATTTGTCATTTCCCCGAAGAACAGCCTCGTCTGTAGCGCAGTCTCCACAGGCTCCAATCAACCAGAGACATTATTGTTTGATTTAAGACATCTTCAGTGCATTGATTAGTGTCAGAGCCGTAGCGCTGGAGAAATCCCTCTGAGCCTGAATACATAACTCCCTTCTCATCTCTGTCATAATTTCCCCCCAAAATAATTAGATAATAATCTAGATATTTTGGTCTATCCAGGCACAACCAATTTATTACAACTTTTGAACCCAATTTTACTAAAGTCCTTTCTTGTTTAGCTAATCAGCTCTCAGCCCCAAGTGTCATGTGATGAAATGAAAAAGGAACTCAAGATGTAGGACTGAAAATAAAGGGTAATTTAGTCAAATAAATCCAAGGTAACAAAGATCCAGGACTGAAAACAACACAACTGTGGAAGAGACAATGGACGGACAACAAGTGGGAAAAGCACAGGGTAAAAATACACACGAATCACATCAGAGCAAAGAGATAATCAACAGGAGAAAGTCAGCAAACTCTAAACTACAGCAGAACAAATGTACAGCAAAAGCACCACACTGTAAATTCTCTCAGGGCTTTTCTGTACAGGATTACAAAGATCATATTTTTTACAGCACATTTTGATTGTTTAACGCAGGGGTGTCCAAACCTTTTAGCAAGAGGGCCATTTTACTTCACCAGACTAGTCCAGGGGCCGACCTCACGGACTGAGAACTGTCTTGACTGACATCTCACCAGCTACAGTAGCACAAAAAGTCAACAGCGTAATGGGCTTTAGAACAAGGTCTATATTGGCTGAGCTGAAGTTGGATGGATGACAAAGTGTAAGTAAGTAAGTAATCTTTATTTATATACTGCCTTTCACAGACCAGAGTCACAAAGCGGTTTACAATTGTTATTTTTTTGGGCATCGGTTTCTTACTCCACACAGAGATGGGAAGAGCCAGTACAGGAGGCAAGACCTATTGTACATTTTTTTATTGGTAGGGGAGTACCTGGAGGAAACCTACGCAGACACGGGGAGAACATGCAAACTCTACTCAGAAAGGCCCTGGTCCGACCGGGATTAGAACACAGGACCTTCTTGCTGAGATGCGAGAGTGCTATCCACTCAGCCACCATGCCGCAAAGTGAACTTGTGTTTATGATAATTGGGTTAGCGAGGCAGAGGGCCACATGATATGACACTGAGGGCCGCAATTGGCTCTCGGGCCTGAGTTTGGACATGCCTGGTTTAACATCTCAGGAAGAAAATCAGACAAAGTAAATGAAATGCCAGAGTGTGTAGTTCTCTCCCCTTCAGCCTTTGTTCCCCACAGTCAGACTGTAGAGAGAGGAGACAACAGCGGGTGACTCACTGTATTTGTATCTATAGTTGTGTGTCTGTGTGACGCACATAAATCCATTAAGAGGAAGCGAAGAGCGGTGAGCCTTGACAACGGCCACACGTCTGAGCGAGGCCAATCGTGTCATTAGTTCTGCAACTCTGGCCTTGAGTTTATTCCTTTATGAAAGAATGAGAGAAGTCTACATCACTTCAGACGCTGCAGACGACTCTCAAAGACACGGAAAATGAGGAGTGATGCGTATAAGAGACACCGTAGAAATGCCTGATATGTAATTGTTATATAAGGACAATGTTAGTTGTGATTGCTACAAATATCATGATAATAATAATAATAATAATAATGCATTGGTTTTATATAGTATTTCTTTGGACTCTCAAAGACAGTGGTGACAAATTACTACTTTAGCCACAGCTGCCCTGGGGCACACTGACAGAGGCGAGGCAACCAGTCTGTGCCATCGGCCCCACGCACACACACACACACACACACCAGACTGATTCTAATGTGGGGGAAGTGCGTTGCCCAAGGACACAACCACAGTTTGCAGGTACTGAGGATTGCTGCCTGCAGTGTCCCTGTGCTACAGCACACAGGTACACTGAAAAACTGATAAAAAATAATAGGTAATATTTTCATGAATCCAGTGGTTTAATCTGACTCATTGTGACTGTGTTAAAACCAGATTCTCCAATGGGACAAAACCATTTAGTCTTATTTTGAGAACGGTTGCTTTATTTTCTCATTCCAAGAGAGACATTTCTGTATCTTTTTAAAACAAGATCATTTTGCTTTGTCCCGTTGGTAAATCTTATTTTAAGACTCAGTCAAAATCTGCATTTACACTTTACCCCCTGCCCTCAGGAGGAGGTTTTTAGTCCCAAGATTCCATACAAAACGTTAAAATAGCAGTTTTGTTCCCACTGCGGTCTCCTTGATGAACAGGCTGTAGTTTGCAAGTGCACGATAGTTCTTATCCTGGTTTTTGGATGGTTTTTTCTGGAGTCCTGAAAAACCACCTTTTGACCACTTTTACTTCTTTTGTAACTCTTTTTTTCTTTACTAATCTGTTGTGTTTTATTGTTGATTGTGTAAATGTGATTTTTATGAATATATGTTGTGTAGATTCCAACTCTATCTCTTTTTAACTGCATAAAGAACCTCAAATAAAGTCACCTTGAGCCTTGAACCGATTCAAACGTGTTTAGTTTTCAGCTTGAGTATTTTACAGTTATTCTCTTATTCCTCATACAGTAGTATTCTGCAGAAACTTCAGCTCGTCTCGGTGAAACAGACGGCCCCATG